AATGCATCTAGCTGAGGCCAAACTAAGAGGACAAAAGTTAGGATGCTAGGCTCCACCTGTAGTCAATGTAGAGGTATTTTCCGAGGGAACTATTTCAAAGCTTCCTAAACACTACTAGGTATTTTGGCAGCGCAGATTCCTTCCACAGTTACCAGCAATGGGCTGAGGCTAACAGTAGCAAGGAAAAAAAAAAAGAGAGACTGACTGCCATTGACATAGCCTCAGCATGGCAATATCTGTTACAGTTTGAGGGTACAATTTTAAGTAGTTTCTTTGGCAACAAAGGCAGCTTAAAAGGTTTTCTCTGCTGCCTGCTTGTATCCAGCTCTTGCAGAGAGAGCTTGTTCCTGTCTCCCTTAGGTCTCTCCGTCCATGTGCTGTAACAGCTTGTGGGACCCTGCAGCAAATCAGATTACTGAAATGACTGGGGTTTTGTTGGGAGCTGGGTTTTTTTTGTTTAAAAACAACAAAGATTGTGGAGTGTTTGTTTTTGTTTGCCCAGAACATTTCAAGGATCTGGTTTAGGCTAACCCCACAAACCATGGCACAGCTGGGCAGGAAGAGGAGCAGACTGCAGTGCCTGCATCTGTCTGTCTTGTGCCTGAATCTTTTTACAGCTCTGCTGCTTAAGAAAATACAAAGGGGTTTCACACACAGAGGGAACCTTTCTGCTAAATAACAGCCAGGTTTTGTATACTCAAGGTTCTGCAGTATTGGCTAAATGCTGGCAGTAAGCTGAACATGTTTGTTTTGGACTTCAAAAGAAAATGATGCAGTTTCAGTTGTTGGATCCCTGAGTTTGCCACTTTTTTTTTTTTTTTTAGAAAACCCACCCACCCACCCACACCCCATGGTCTCTCCTTAACAACTCTATGAAAACAACCTATGGTAGGGAGAAGGTGTAGAAAAAAGCATCTGTTTTTAAAGTTTTGTCTTGCCTTCTATTAACGTTAGCTTTCTCTCATACGCTGTACTGATGCCTCTACCTACCCAAACACGCAAGTTTCTTCAGCTACCTCTTCCCATTAGTATGACCTGGCTGAAGCTGCTTAATCCTCCCTCACTTGTTCTAGCAAAATGGAGCAGAGTTAAAGACTAGGGGAGAAGAGAGGAGGAGTGTAAGGCCTTTGTGGACTCACCCTTCAACCCATCACATTTCAAAGAGCAGGGAGAATTCTGATCCCTCTCTAACACTCACCCTCAACCATTGAGCCCTGGCTTGTTAGGAGGCTTTATTATTATTATTATTATTATTGTTTCTAACTATAGTGATTCCTGAAATCCAGTTTATCATTTCAGTAGTAAGGCTTTTCTTCTTACAGTGAATTATTGTTGAATTTTATTTGTTTCTTATTCAATAGCTTTTTTGTTGTTCCCCCCCCCCCCCCAACCAATTATGTAAACTGCAAATGCCACAGACAGTGCCTCCTATTGTGGCTCAGGCTCAAGACTTCACATATGTAAAATGTGACTTGCAGCACTTTCTTTGAAGCCTAACCACAGCCAGGGAGCTGTACCCCCCCCCGTTAAGCCTTAGATGTGGGAAGTTTTCAGTCTCCTTAGCACATGCCTGTGGTTTCTTGAAAAGAATCCTGATTTGACCTGTTTTATATATGTAAGGCAACACTATCATCATTATTATTTTTTAGGTATTATTTGGTTTATCATCAGCAGAAGCAATTTCCAGTGTGTAGCCTTAACGTGCAGCTGGGAAAAGGCTTGGTTCTAGATGCTGTTTTCAGGCTAGCTACTGTGTAATTTTCTGTATTGCAGTATTCTGGAAATAAAAATACTTGGGGCTTTGCTTTGCCTGCCCCCACGCAGAATTATGATAGTGCTTGCAATTTCTCTTTATCCCCCTCACTAATAATTAGGGGTAGAGAGAGGTTACAAAAACGAGGCATAAGCTGCTAAAACGGCATTTGGATCGAGAAAGAAGCGATGGCCCCTGTTTGAAAAAGCTGAGGGCCAGAGCAAGGCCGTGGTCGTTATTTTAACCTCCTGACTTCAAAGACAGCTTGCTGGTAAGAGAAGGGGGGAGGAGGCAGGGAATCATCTCAACAGAAGAGCATTTCATTTCCTTCAGTGAAGTAGACATTCCTGGCTGCTAATGGGGAGTAGCTCTGAATCACAGCACTTGTATCAGACTGCTGTGAACTACTGGCCTGGCGCCTCAAGGCCATTCCTCAACAGGAAGCTGAATGTTTTCATGTAAGACTGAGAGGAAAACCTTCCCAGGAAGAGCAACCTGGACCAAACCTTTGAAAATCTGGGATGAAAAGGCACAAAATAAATATAAAGCTGCAGGGTGCTCTCCCCAGTGTTCCTCTGCTGTTTGCTTGGCCTCTCTTTCGTGCTCCTTGGAAAGGTAGAGCCCTTCGTAGCTCTTTGATCCACATGTGTTACGGAGCACTGTGCTACTTTTAAAAAGAAAAAAAAAAGGCAGGAAGCTAAGAATGCTTTTTTTAGTTGGGACTTGGGCTGGTTTTATGAGGAAATAGGAACTGAATTAGTCAATACAGACCACCTCTTTTGAAACCACTGGTTTTCCAGTGGATTTTTTTGCCATGCTGTTCAAAAGCCCACAGTGGCTTTAAATGTCCTATTGCAGCTATCAGTAGCAGGTGAAAATTACTCATTATGTATCAGGGGATGGTGGTATTTGGGGGGAGGGTGTCATTCCAGTTAGAGCAATGCAGTATACTTTAGCATGAACTCGTGCTTGTTCTCTCTACCTTAGTCTGTAGGTAAACTTACTGATTGTCCTCAACTTTTCTTTCCACTAAAAGACCGGTCTTGGGGGGGTGGCCTCTAACAGGGATTTAATTTGATAGTAAGACTTTGGGACCTCATCTTGCACTCACCAAAAATCAAAGTGTCTCGATTTTGGAGCCTTTCTGCCCTACAGTACATTAGCTTGTAAATTCTTTATTCAAGAGCAGGACTCAACCAGTATGGGCAAAGTGTTTTGTATCATAATGAATTAAATTGAACCTGCAAGGAATTGGGGGGGGGGGGGGCGGGGGGGGGGGAAGGGAGGGACGACAGGTAGGTTAAAAATGGCCCTTCATTAAATACTGTTGCCATATTATTTGCTGCTTATTTCTGCTCAAGGAATCAGTCTATTAGTCTAACAGGATGCATGCAGCTGACAAATTCTGGTAATAGAAGCCAGAATGGTGGTTGAAACAAACCTGTTTCTTTATAAAAGTCTAGTTCTATCTTGCCCTGCAGGATTAGAGGTGTTAACAGTGTGTCTTCCTTGTCTGAATCAGAATTTGGTGTTTGTCCTGGTGAAAATTCTCTTACCGTCTCTGCTGAACTGCATTCCTGGTGCTAATTTTGATTGTTCTTTAAAGCTCTGTTCAGTGAACCCTTGACTTCTTTGGTAGTTGGATAGCGTCTGGAGTCCTAGAGGTTAGAGTAGATTTTTGAAACTGTTACTGGAAAGCATGTGTCCGTCTGTGGAAAAATGCCTGACTCATTAAGACAGACACTGGGTGGAGTCCCTGTTACAATCCAGTTGTCTGGGTCAGAAGGGCAGGGGTGACTTGAATCAGCAGTTGCATAAGTAGGCCAATGTAACCCAAAGCCCTAATGTTCAAGAACTGCTCCTCTCTGCAGAGAGAGGGACCAGTACCTATAGGCTTGCATTGTAGACCTTTTCACATGCCGTAAGAGCGTAAGTCCTCCCACAGTCCTAGGGAACTCTGCTGCCAGGTAAGTGTCCTGTGGCTCTTATCCGACTGGAAGATGTTCCCTACCTCATTGAAGAGTAGAACAAATCCTTTTCAGCGGTGTGGATGTGCAGTAGCGTCAGCGTTCACAGAAACCTCTTATTCCGTCACCCATGAGACTTCTCTACCCAGCTGCTTACAGAAGATAGCATTTCTTTGTGTCTACGGAGAGTAGCGCTTGAGGCTCCAAGATGGAGGTTAATTGACCTCAACTGCCATAGTATCAAAGCCTGAGGATGTCTAAACCTGTAACAGATGTCTGGGTCAAGTGTTGTAGATAAATGAAACCCACTATAAACAGGCATTACTTCTGTAACATGCTGAATGTCTGTCTAAAGTTCTCTTTAAAAAAAAGAAAAAATTCTAGTGGGTGTGGACATCTATTTACAATCCAGAGTACTCTCTTGAATGAAACAAAGCCATGACTATTCTTACAAGCTTCGAGCACCAGCAAGCAGTAACACTTTGCACTTAATTTTGGAATTGCAAAAGCAAGTTCCACTAATACAGTTGTGCCACAGGGTTACAGTGACCCAACACCATGTATTTCCCTGAGGATAGTTTCTTTGAAGGGCTTGTTTAAAAACAAACAAACAAACAAATTGCTTAATGTAAACTTTATCTCTCTCTCTTTCTCTTCCCTCTCTGTAGGTGGGAAAAGAAATGCTTTCTCAACTTGCAAAGCAAAGGCGGCGACACCAGGACCCCTTCTGGAGATGGAAGCTTGCTAAACCCTAGGTGTGTCCTTCATCCATGCAGACACCCCCCCCCCCCCAACGGAGTCTGTCTAGGATGTCATTCACCCTGATGTCACTGCTAGAGACACTGAATCATAAAGACAATCACTGCCAAAATCCTTCACTATCACAAGGTCCAGCCCTGGTATAAAAAGATCAAATGAGCTCCTGGGTGAGCAGAGCAGCTTTTGTCCTCACTCCATCTCTGCCTTGCACTCTTAAACTCCTGTCTCATCTGTGCCCATATTGAGTCAGCAACAAAGTAGCATGGCTGTCTGCCTGCTTCAGCCAACAGAATAACATAGACCACAGCTACCCCATACAGCACATTGAGGAATGGAATTTGCCTGGACAAGGAAGACGCACTCAAACTTCTTTTTATTTAATGGTGCAACAGGATCAATTTTGGTTTTAGCTTTTTTTTTTTTTTTTTTAAGAAACTTGAATGCTTTTATATTTTAACTTTTAGTTTTTAATTTCTTTGGTGTATATTTTACTAGGTATGAGCTTTTAAACAAGTGTCAAAATCTGAAATACTTTTTAAATAAAGGATTTTTTTTTTCTGCCAGAGGAAAAACCTGTATGGAAAAAGGTGGCTTTTTTTGTTAAACTATTTGTAACAAATAGTGGCCTCTCAGTCTATATAATACAGTGTCCTATAGAACTAAATAAATGTAACAACAGTCAGCTGGTCGTTAGACATGTCAGTCTTGCATCATCCACTCTCTAAACATAAGCAATACATCCAGCAAATCTGACTGCAGTGAGTTCTCCTTCTCACCCATTCCCCTTCTCCTTGTAAAAAGCCCAGCACTTGAATTATTACTTCAATTGTTCTGTATTTGTATCTGTTTTTTGTTAGCCTGTTAGTGGGATTTTATGCCAGTTGTTGAAATGAGCATTGATGTACCCATTTTTTTTTTTTAAATAGTAAGGCACAGCCTTTGCCAAAAATACTGTCAAATGATTTTTTTTTTTTTTTTTTTGTCATTCCAGTTTGAGTTAATGTGCTGAGCATTTGTTTTTTAATAAAAGCTTTGTAATAAAACTAAAGTCAATTGTCTGGCTTAAAAAATAAAAATGGCTTGCACTTGAAGGAGTAGAATCCCTGGAAGGCAGGAATGAGCCCACTGAGGCACAGTCATTTCTAAGGCTGCACACTTTTGGTGCAGCATCTCCTCCTAGGAAATGCCATGTGCCTCTTTGGCTGAAGTAAACAGTCATTTTTGAAAGAAGTGGAACTTTTTTCTTCCCAAAGTAAGCAAAACTCTCCTGTTCCCATCCTGGGAGCAAGGAATTGGCAGGCTCAGGCTTCCCTCATGCTTCCAAGTTAGAATTGGGCTAACTGGAAGTATTAGGCTCTTCAATCTCTCCCTCTGCCTTCAGTTTCCTACCAGAATCTCAGTGAATGCATTTGCTGTAGCAATGGTTTTAAACTGATTATTAGGAATATGGATTCCCTTCTTTCTGAATGCCATCCATGCCCAAATATGGGGTCAGAGCCTAGAGTTAAACTTCTTATAGCTGTATAAGTTCTCCTGCAATCAGGGACTGGAACTAGCTGCAGAATCAGCTGTGCAAGGGCCTGGTTCGTGTAGTTAGTTCCAGCGCTGGTATGGTCTACCTGCTGCAAACAGCACCCATGAGGCACTCCTGTACTCGTCAAAACTGAAAATACAGGCATTTGAGCCTTTCCAGCCCTAAACACTACCAGAAACTTCTCTGATACCTTTCCCCGTTTCTTCAGGGACTAGTATTTCACAGCTTCCAAACATACACAGATGGCTGACGTCTACTAAAGGACTTCAATAGGAAAAACAAAACAAACCAAAACACTGTAGCTACAGGCAAACTGTTCCAACCATTTGTGAGCACCACTGTGAAAGAAACGCTATGAACTGTAAATTGAACCAACCTACCTTATATTCTAGCTCCTCAATCTTGTTTGGTGTGGAACTGGAATGAGGAAAGCACTGAGCTACAAGGAACTCACATAGGTGAGTTTATTGCCTAAGGAAGTTTTGTGATTACGCTGTTTATAATTGACTCTCAAACTCTTTTGCCTAAGAAGAAATTTCATAACTAAAACTGTTCTATAACGACTTCCTTCTAGACCAGCGTGCATTGTACACAAATGCAATCGTAAGAACGCAACTAGCATATTAGTCCTTGTAATAGTTATTTCTAGCAACTAGTGATTACTTTTAAAAAGTGAGCAGGCAAGGGAATGATCTCAGATGGCAGGAGAAATCACCTCTGAGCAAACAGCAACCATATATTGGAGTTTTCCAAAGCCTGGGTTACATTCCCATTCCAGCCAATTCTCCCAGCTTCTGTTGGAAACCTGTTCAGGTTTTGTTTTTTTTAAGGGGAGAAAAAGCAACTACTTCAGTGCAGTAACGGACTGGACTACTTTCTTTATACTTTTATATGGCTACTTGAAAAGCCACTTACCCATTTTGCAAAAAAACTGTTCTCAATAGAGGTGTTAGTCTTCTGTAGCATGTTTTCCCAAATAAGCTATGTAGTCAATAGTTGCCTATTTTGAGGATGAAAGGTCCTTCAGCTCTAATAGTGATGGAGAAAAATAATTCATGAGCTAAAAAAATAACATATTTTTGCTGTTAACATACAATGAGCAAGCAGCATGTGTTGGGCTCATTCAGAGATCCAAGCATTTTCACATACAGCAATTACGGGAAAGGTTAACTTACAACGCAAGGCACAGGATGTGTCCATGAGAACACCTGAAAGGTGGCAACCACACTAACCTGGAATCCTCTCTACGACTTGGCTCAGCAGCTGCTTCTGCCCTGCAGTGCTGGTAGGCATTTGCTCCTGCACTATTCAGAGAGCAAACTGACCTGTGCCCTCACTATACTGTACTGGCTTGTGAAAATGCTGCTAACCTGGCAGTAGGAAGACTAGGTGCAAAACCATGTGAAATCAAGTAAATTACTCAAGGTGAGAATCAAAAACAACACCTAAATTCCTAATACGTAATTCAGGTAGAGGTCATCATCTAACAATGCCTTTCTTGGGTGCCTGAGGAGATGAAGCCCTTGCATTTCCCACAGAAAATGTCTTTAAGGATTTTAATACTCCCATCTAATGGCTGACAATTACCCAGATGCTTCTGTAAAAGCATTCATAAATGTACTCTCTCCCTCCATACTTTCTTCTAGGCACTTCATGTCTGGCATGCACTAAACAATTCTGCACAGACCACAGTACTGGTAGTCCCATCCATAAAAAAAGAAGGTATCCTAGTAGCTAGGACATGAACATATCCCTCCTCCCTCTCACCAACAGAACAGCAAAGGACAAGGCAAGACACAGAACAGGGCAGCTGAGCCAGAATTATTTATGGCTAATCAGACCAACATCAGAGGATGGCCTGACTCTTCAGGCTTTTGGCTCACCTGGAGCAGAGCCATTTCCCTTCTGTTGTATAAAGAACAATGCCCCAGGCTAACTTGGCTCCTTATACAGCAAGTGATGACAGATTCACTAGCTGTGCTCATAGGGACTCTCCAGCTCTGGAGAATTAAGTCTTCTGTTACAGTTTCCGCTTTGGATTCACTAACAGAAAAAAAAGCAGTAAGTTGGTTGTACAAGTGATAGCTTGATTGTTAGGTGAGTTTGCAGTGAATGTGGGAGATTAAGGACCCAATCCTCACTCAAGGCCGCAGGACAGCAGAATCCAGACCGTCGGTCATCTGTACTCCTTTGAAACCACAAGGCTTTGAAGCAACTATTCTGTTTTCTGATGGCCCCCTTTCTTTTCCTGCTCCGGTCTACAGTGGTGGCCAACTAGGCTGAAATGAGACAGCTAGAAAATGAGGCACGCTACAGAGACTAAGAAATACCCAGAAGCCTCCCTAATAATTTATTTAAACTTTATTCCCTTGCACTCACAAAGGGCCTAATATGTCAAGCAACCTCCCCCTTCAGCAGAACTAGCTAATACAAAGTAGAGCATTACAGGGGAGAAAAAAATGCATCCACAAACAGCCAGGAGCCTAAGCTACAAACACGTCTCTCCTAAGTCAGGGTAGTGACAAAACTGCTGGGCTAACAAGGAAGTCAGCCAAAAGGAAAGCAACTGTGACAGGAAAATGGCCTGCTGTAAACACAGATAGGCTGAGATGAAGCCAAAACCTAAGAAGTGCCCAAATACATTGATTTTCCCACATGACAGACCAGTAATATTGTATTAACATGTATTAATGTATTAATTTACCTTGTGGGTCTCCTCATGGATACAAAGATCTGCTTCAGCAAGAAAAAGAGAGTCAGCAGCCCCAAAAATAGAGACGTATATGCCAGGAATATGGGAAATAATTTTTTAACCACTAGCTTTCAGTCAGGTCAAAGCAGGGACCAAAATTCTGCTCTCCTTCTTCCCAGGTCAATACTCATACTTTCAGGCCATGAGCTTTAGACAATGTCTTCTCTCTGGCTGGCACACTCCTCCTGCAACAACTGTAACTTCAGCAGTCACAGAAGCCATGTTTGCTTGACTAAGATAACAGTCACTGCTAACCCGGTCTGATATATCAAGGTTCACATATCTGTGAATGATATACTATATAAAAGGGAACATATTTCAATCAACTCTCCCATCCCACCTCACAGATACCTAGCACATACAAATAAACAGCAGGTTTGTTCATCCTTCAGCTATGGAAAACCAACATGAACGGGCAAAGCTAAGAATTTCCATCTACTACGTCCCAGCAGAGCAACTGATGCTAAGAATCGGTGTATTGGGTTTGCTGTGCTAAGAAAAGGTGACTATGACAAAATAAATTTTCAGCAAAATAAGAAAAGCAACATACTCCAGAACTTAATGGTGATCAAGGCACTTATTTGGAGAGGCAACTCTTTGAACTTGGACTGATTTCCCACAGCCAAGAAAAATGATGAACAAATCCTGAGAGATACTGCTTAGGAAGGGGTAGGACCATCTCTGCCTCTTCCATGGAATGAAGAAGCCATGGAAACAGGGACTCAGACCTTGACAAAACAACATGCTAAATAAGGTTAGTTTTTGTTAGCACCTCCCTGTGCAAGTGAAGTGCTGGGTAACACAACAGGAGTCAAGGCACATGGTACTGACTACACCACTTAGCTGAGACAAAGTTTAAAAGCCCAGGGCAGACAAGATTCTTAAACTTCAGGTGCTTCTTTTGCTATCCTGAGAGGTGGTCCCTTCTTACTATCCTCCTGTGTTATCTGTTTTATTTTGTCTTGGCTAATGCTATCAGCAACAACTTCTTCCTCTCCACAGGAGAAAGGCCAATGCTTTTTTTAGACCTGTAGGAACCTGCTAGCTCAAATTCTACCCAACTTTTATTAAAATGCCCTCAAAAAAATTCACAATCAACACATCTTAATCTAAGGTCTCTCAACAAATCTAAAAATGGGATTTTTGGTCACTGTTTGAAAGTTCAGATTTTATAAGGAATATTTTGACATATGGTCTAAAAGTTTCCATTGGTTTGAGTTTGGTATAACTGCATGACTCAAAACTACTCAGCTAACCACTAAGCAATCTAGTTCTGCCCAGGCTGGTATTCTAAATCAGTTACTCCACACCTTTTTTGCTTATAATGGTGTCCCCTACTGAAACAGAATGGCAAACAAAT